TATCTGACTCAAAAGAAATGTGAGAACTTTTCGTGGGATAGCTGGACCTTTCCTCTATATCATATTCTCTTATCTCTCTCATTTCTTTTTGGGCTTCGACCATCCCTTTCTTCTCTGAAATCCCTATTTCAAACCTTAGAGGAAGTTGGTACTGTTTGTTTGCATCTCACTCGCCTTCACCCACTATAAGAGCCATCTGGAGTCCACCGACACTGGGTATCCTCAAACTTAATACAAACGGTGCATCTTTTGGCAACCCCGAACCCTCCGGCTATATAGGTACCCTGGCCAACTCGAACGGCTTACTCCTCTCTTTTTCGGGGCCTTGGGAATTACTGATTCCACCCATGCCAAGGCTATGGCCCTATTGGAAGGACTCAAGAAGACCTCCCTTGCTATACAAGTTGAATGTGACTTCAGCAATGTCATCAGGTGGGCATCCAACGTCTCTCTACCTCCATGGAGACTGACATCCATCTTCGAATCTATTTACCTTATCTGCAGTGACCTGCCGCCTGTGACTTTCAAGCACATACTCAAGGGACCAACTCAGCTACGGATTGCCTTGCAAAGGATGGAGCCCACAACACCTTCCCCACCCTTTTATTTTTTCACTTGGTACACTAACCCATTCCCCTCCCCCCCAAAGATTGCAATGGAAAAAAAAACAAGAAAAAAAAATTTGAAAAAAAGTGAGAAGAAAAAGAAGAAAAAAAAAAGGAAAAAGAAAAAAGATGAGAAAAGGAAAAGCTAGAAAAAAAAAAAAACAACTTCGTCATTACCCCCCACTTTACTTCTCTCCCTCTCCCCTTTTATCTCGAGCTTCCAGTTTATATAATCTCTCTTCTCCCCTCCCCCCCCCCCCTCCCCCTCCCCGCCCAATTTTATTTGGTATCCCTTCTTCCTCTCTATTCTCTACCCTATCTCACTCTGTCTCTCTCTACCCCCTCATGAAACCCCTATTCTACACCTCCCCTCCTTTATTTCTCCTTACATCTCCTGTCTCTCTTGCCCCTCTTTTAGAAACAGGCTTTCAACCATCCCTCCTCCTCCTCCCCTCTATCCTTCTTGCAGCCTGAAGCAAGTCCCCAAGGGATATTTAATACTCGGAAGGACAGCACAGAAGTTCAACACTCAACCTCATCCTGGCGGTGCGTTATCTCGGCAATGAATCTAACAATCGAATATCTTCGACCCCTTGCATAACAAGATAGGGCCTCGTTACCCCCAACCTTATTTTGTCTCGGCCACACCCTACTTTAAGGACTCTCACCGCCTCTGTTGGCTCAAAACTCTACACATCTATGTTATGTTTGTTGATCCCTTTGGATTCTTTAATTGTTATCTTTAATTCTTTTCTTTTGTTTGTTGTTGTATCACCCTTCCCCTTTGTAGTCCGAGCACCCAATTTGTGGGCTATCATTTTACCACTCCACGTGGTTCTGTACTTTTTCTTTCTATTTAACTAGTCAACCAGTCTAGAAATAAAAAACAACCTGGGAAATGCCATGGAGCATTTACTTTGAAACAGTGAAATGCTACTTAAGGGATTTGTTCCACTCATGGTTTAAATCATTACTGACATTTTAGATTTTTCACCTTCATGGTGTGTTGACTGCCAACAACGGTTAGGAGGGGTGATTTGGTTTGAGTGGAAGGTTCTAAAAGGGCAAGCAGAAGGCCCAAAAGGATATAGATGAAAGTAGTGAGAAGAGATATAGTGACTTATAGTCTGACTAAGGGTATGGCCCTTTATAGAGCAGAATGGTGAAATAAGGTTCGTGTAGCTGACCCCAAATAGTTGGGATGAGCCTTAGATGATGACGATGATGATGATGGAGTGTTGACTGTCAAGATGCCCTAATGCTTGTGAACTACAATGCATCAGTTATACCTTATAGTCCCTGTTAATGTGTGTGTACATATATTCACCCATAGATGTTACACAATCATATGCATTTGCGAATGTGTGCTCACAAATGCTCATATAGGATTGTGTGGCTAAGATGCTGATTGTGCAGAAGGCCATGAGGTGGGATGACCATTATAAATACAAACTTTTCTGTAAAGCCTCAATTGCTTTTCTATGACTTCATGAGGTAGGGTTTAGGTGCGTCACTGGGTGCACTTATTGCATTGTGCCCACCCTTCCAATATCCTTCTTGGAGGTGGATTGAGGACCAAAAACAACGTCGCAGGTCTAGCATCTCGACCGTTACTTCAGGAATCTGAAAGAAAAATTAAGTTTGAGCCTTAAACATGGTCCAACTTGTACCTTTTTTTTTACAATTAATTTATATTCTTCAAAGATCATCAGCTCTTTGCTATTTTTGAAGCTCCAAATGCATAGATTTGAGCATTGCAAAATCGCCCAATCTAACCGCTAACCGCCCAATTAGATCGGAACCGACCAGTGGCCTTTTCCGGTTTTGGGCGGTTAGGGTGTTCAATCAGTATTTAAAAAAAATATCAGAAAAATGTATATAAATTCTCAAAAATAAGGAATTTGATTTGTAATCCATTTTTAAATATTCTTTACATTATGGTAAAGATTAAAAAATGTTTTGGTCATTAATACTCACTTTTATATTTTCCCATTTTTTTTAGAAAATTTTAAAAATAGCCATTGGAAAATATGAAATGGGTTAAAATCCATGTTTTTCTTTAATTTTCAACTTCATTTGAATGTGTTTTGTTTTAATCATTCTTTATATGCCTTTCATATTTTAGTAGATTTTTTTTTGTATGTTTTTTAAATTTTTTCGACACTTTTTTGACCGCCCGGGACTTGCCCGATTAGAGCGGTTGAATCGGCCGGTTTATTGATTAGGCCAGTTAAATCGTGTCCAGGCCCATGTCCGGTTAACTGTTCCGGTTCGATTTTACGAACATTGGATTTGAGGCAAATATGGATATCTAGTGACCTAGAATGTGTTTAGGGCCCAAAAAACCCAATGCAAGACAAAATTAATCTTATTATAAATTTTATTCAATTTCAAATGATGTATATTGTAATTTTAGTTTTAGATTTTTATGTTTAGGATTTTGAAGTATTTTAAGTATTTAAGTTTTTTTATATATACTTTTTATTTAGTAGACACTGGTTGCTATTCATAGGTATTGTTCATGGGTAATTGTTTATAGGGGTATTTTAAAAATTTTATATTGTTTAAGGGTATTTTAGGCTTTTATGTTTAAATTAGCACAGTATCAATTTCTTGTATGATTTTATCAAAAAATAAAATTTCTTGTATGAAGATGATCGATGTCCTTTGAATGTTAAATAGTGTCTAGGTCTATTGATTTTGGGCCAAGTTTTGCCAAATTCAGCCTAGATCTTGATGATTTCAGCAAGGTTTTGTTGATTCTCTACCTAGGATTTATGATTCCGGTAAATCAATGGCAGCGACAAAGAGCCTTGAAAGGGGGGCTTTCGCAAACCTCCTTTGTGATCTCAGAGATGAGGAAATTAAAGAACTGAAAAGGCAAGTTCAACAACTAGCACAACAATTTGCAAGCATCATTCATGGGCAAGATGGTGATCTTTTCGCCTAAGAAGATGTCAAGTACTACCATTTTTACCTCCATGCCCTGTGTGAAGAGAGTAAAGAGGAAAGTGATAGAATACCTAGACATAGGGGGCATCACTCTAGGGTTTTCGATTTGAAGGAGGACATTCTTGATTTTGATGCAGGTTGTATCAAAAACCAATAGGTTGTAGTTTGGGATATGCTGCCAATCTTCGATATATACTTAGATGAAGAATAAGGTCTTGTAGGAGATGTAATCTATGATCATAAAAAGATTTTGTGGTTGTATCAATCTTTGACGAAGTTAAAGATGATGGCCTCCAAGGGGAATCAATAGGTAAAGTTATTGGTTAAGTCATCGAATCCAATGCTCATGTCGAAGATGCAGCTGTAGTATGTTCTAGGGTTGAGTCTAAGCAATTTCAACGGGTTTGTATTTCTGAACTGATGCAATTTTAGCAAGTTTATGTAGCTAAACAGACTGTTGACATACAATGACCCTTTCCTCGATGGTTTCTCAAAAGTCTTTATGAATATATCAATTGATTTCAAAGCCCCAGCCCCAATGCATAATCGTTGTACTTTGATTGGGACAATAAACCATGAGTCCAAAACTCGAGGACGAGTTTTCTCCAACCAAGGGAGGATGATGCAGGGCAGTTGATCTTATTTCTTAGTTTTATTCAATTTCAAATAATGTAAAATTATATTTTAATTTTAGTTTTAGGGTTTTTAAGATTTTATAAAGAATTCTATTTTGGGTACTATTTATCGGGATTGTTCATGGGTAAAGTGTTCATAGGGGTTTTTTGGAATTTTGAACTATTCGTGGTACCTATTCATGGGGGTATCTTTGGAACTTTTAATATTTTTTAAGGGTATTTTAAATTTCTATGTTTAAATTGGGATGAGGGTGTCAATTTCTTACTTTTATGGACAACTAATGTCCTTTGAACATCATCATTTGAGCCTTAATTCCAACTATTTGGAGTCAGCTAAATGAGTAGTCTGCCATTGCGCTCTATCAAGGGCCATACCTTCGGTCAAACCGTAAGTCGCCATATCTCTTCATATTACTTCCATCCGTGTCCTTTTAGGCTATTCTCTTGCCCTTTAGAGCTTTCCTCTTAAATCAAATTGCCCTCTTAACCGATGTTATATGTCGACACTACACATGACCAGACCACCTAAGTTTAGTTCGCTCATCTTATAGGCTATTGGGGCCATCCCTAAAAATCAGGGGGACACATGAGTTAGCTGACTCACCAAAATCTTTTCCTTTGAAATAAGACCATTTTCTTTTGGACACGGGTTCAAATTCAAGGTAACCACATTTGACTTTGTTTCTTCAGGTTTATTAATGGTCGTCCATATTACTAGGTTGATCAAGTTTGTGGGAGCTATAAGAAACACTTGGCCTGGATCTGATGCCATTCAACGAAAGAAAAGTTAAAAAGAAATTCATGGATATAGATAATGTTTGCAATTAGGAACACTGCAGGATGGGATACACAAAGAGCTAGTTGACTTGGTCTAATTACATCAAAATAAAATATATTATAGAGCAAAGCAGTTTTGCATACATACGAGTTTATGCTCTCTACTGATGGAAACAATAATTGAACTTGATGGAATCAAAATGTTAACATTCTCGCAAGTCTCCATACCCATCCATGGTTTAGGGAAAGTATATAACAAGTAGTGGCTTGGAGCACAAGCAGACAGAACGTATACTAAGAAGGGGAGAGAAAAAAAGGTAAGAAAAGAAAGCAGACCCTCAGGATAGTGTCCATAAGGCTTAACGACTTAACCCTGTGCCCTCTTTGGCCATACTAGGCTCACAGAAACTCTTTTCCACTAGGCCAAGCTGGACAATTTCCTGAAACTCCACAAACTTGGTCTCACAGAAAAAAGTTCGATATTTGTTTGGCCAATATGTCACATAAACACTCCCCTTGATCTCCCAATTCGTAAGCATGCCCTTCACTTCTTTCCTAAGCCTCCATGCAATCCCCTCACCGTACTCATCCCTTGCAAAAACAACCCCTCCTTGCTTGGTAAAAGGCCTATAGGCATTGCAATATCGGTCCCGAAACCACACTTTTGGTTGAATCAATGTCATCTTAGAAGGCCTAGATGAGAAGACCTCCCTCCCATCCATGCTATCATGCAAGAACCAGCTCATGGTCCCACTACTTCCCTCTGCACTCTGCTCAAACCTCCATGGCTTCATGCTCATGCTATTGCTGTCAGTGGCCGAGACCTTGACACCAAAGTAAGATTGGGGAGCATCAAACCCAGTTTCAATTCCCCTTTCAGTCCCAATCTCATGAGTAGGGTTGTCTGAAGATTTGAAAACTGAAACTGATAAGAGATTTGCATCATCAATGGGGGTTACATACAGAGAGATACGTGAGGGGAAGTGCTTCTCTTCTTCTCCTGCTCCACGTCTCTCTAGTAATGCATCGGTGACCAAGGGAACAATGTCGCACCTTATGTTATCGATGCTCATGAATACATCAACCCAATTGTGTTGAAAAGCCAGTGAGTAGCGAAGTTGGAGCACGGTCTCAAGGTGGTGGTGTCTTAGAGAGAATAGCAAGCGGTCATCCGTTGAGCACTCACCTGAGCTCTCACCCACTTGTTTCATTGCAGCAATAGGACAATAGAGTCGTAGTTTCCAGGCCCCAAAAATGGGTGTTGCATAGGAATAGGGTCCGAGCTCTAGGGCTATCCCTGGGCCTATATTAGTGATGGCTAGTGCTAGTGACCTCATCCATTGCTCCTCTAGGTTTGAACCTATAGCTTGGAGAAAGTGTTTTTGGGTTTGTTTTGATTTATTGTGGGTAAGATGGCGCTGGAACGTGCGGAGGCAGATGTTTCGGATGTCTTGGGGGGCCTCGTATATGCACACACACAAGGACATTGAGGCAAAACAGAGGTTGAAGAATTCAGGAAATTTGGGGTCTTTTGGGGTTATGTGAACGTTTACTATGGTAGGTGAGGGTTTTGTATTAGAGGAATAATGGAGGACATGAGTGATGAAGTTGAGGAAAAGAGAGAAAGTGGTTTGTTGATATGGTTTTAGGGTTTGGGGGTTGAGTTCACAGGGGTTGGAAGACCAAAGAATGATGGGGAAACGGAGATCGATTAGGAGTGAAAAGACGACTGAGTTTGAAAGGAGAGGGTGCTTTTTTATTGAGAATTTGAGGGCTGGTTGGTTTGGTTTCGGGGAGCATATGGAGATAGAGAGAGAGTCTGTTTCCCATTGGGGTGATTGTGGAAGGCTGTTGATCCATGTCCATATATCAGGAACGCTGCAGGAACCCATGTATGAGAACTTTGGATTGTCCCAGCTCCCCTCTCCCTGGCTCTTCATCTCCTCTCTCTCTCTCTTATGGGCATCAAGGAAAAAGTGAAGTTTGAAATTTTAGTTTCAAATATTCCTTCCTATCTACTTTGTTTGGATGTTGATACCCTAATGTGTTCCTTTGATTCCTGTACACTTTTATGGTTCTTGCACTGCACGTAGTCTCTCTCTCTCTCTCTCTCACATATGGGCACATGGGAAAATGAGGTTGGAAACTTCATTTTGAGAATCTTTTCTACAACGTGCTTTAACTTTTGACAAGTCAATAGATACTTGGCTCGTTTTCTATGTTCACTCCCTATGTGTGTGTTTTGTGTAATGATATTGCCTGTGAATGAAGCTTGGTGCTATGGCCTTAAAGTTATTGATGTGAATCCATTGCTTTTGAGACTAGGCATCAATATATTCTTTAGATTGTTTGATATCCTCTTGCGTATCTATTCCGGTCTCATGCTTTTGTGTGACCATGACCAGTGCATTAAAAAGCTGGTTAATGCAACTTATCGTACCCATTCTCAAGTCTCCTTTTACTAAACATTCAAAGTGTATTGTCTCTCTTAAGATGAACCTGCACTCACACCCTACTTGAATATAACAAAAGACTGTTGTGGCCATTACTTAAGAGAAAAGGTTTATATAGGGCGGTAACTTTATATCAGAAGGATAAGGCTCGCGTAAAAGATCCACCAGAAAAGGTTGTTTTGATGCTAGAAACATCTCGATCATTTCAATTTTGAGATGTATGGATTTGAAAAGAAACAATTTTTTAGTCTGAAAAATAGTGCTTTTTTAACATATTATTTGGACTATTTATTCTCAAGGGTTTATAAATATGTTCAATGTGTACCTTTTTTTGGCGACTTTAATTGTTTTAGTTAAAGTGTGGAGATAGATTTTTACGCCATGATTGGGCTTTCAGCTATAAAATTTCATCTTCTGGCAAGAATTGGAGGTCCCCTATCATTGTTTAAGGTTTGACACCTTATGTAAACAGTCCTTAATTGGTATAGATTTACCAGGTTATTTTCAGTGAGAATATTTCAATGGTCTTTCCACTGATATGTTTGACAAATTTGAAAAGTGAAAGATATTCTGTTGGCACTCATGCAGCCACTTCGTGGAATTATATCAATACTTTACTTCTACAATAAATTATTCATTTTGAGACGATCCTCTTAGGTAAGGATTGATTCGGGGAAGTAACAGATTTGCCCGTTCTCTTCCTTCCCGCTTGTAGTCTTTTCCAAGTGTTGCAACTTGCGAGATATTTTCAAAATGATGCGAGACTTGGGACCTGACTTAACCTGATGAAGTATCTCATTGGGAATTTAAATTAAATAAAAATAAGATATGGGGTGAAGCGACATCTACCATTCATTTTTCTAAGAAACGATGGTTATGAAACGATCAACCACTTCATAGACGGCTCCTATCAATATCCATGTCCATGAAGTATATTCTCTATTTTCTGGACGTGTGGTGGATAGGCTCATGGGTAGGGCTTCCACCACGCACCGCAACAATAAGCTCACATATGAAAAGCTAGTTACTTTGACTATGATTCAAAAACGAGAAAAACACATAAGAATTGGTTGCAATGCTCACAATAGTAGTGTTCAAGTAAACGTCAACCAATATGGTCTGGGTATGTGCTCTTGCAAGAGTTAATCTAACCTCATGCTCAAATCTTGGCCATCTTGAGGTTCATGTTGACCTCTTTGCTTGTGGGTGCTATAGATAAACATATTTGATACGTTTGGGTGCCACAAGCCTATGCATCAGACATTTATTTAAATGATTCATATACCATTCTTAACAGTTTTTACGCCATTCAAAGCTCTCAAATGTGGAATTTGACGGCAGGGGTGTTTCATTCCTTTACAATTTCCGGCCATTATAGTGTACTGGTATTTGTTTTAATATTGGCCTTCCTTAGAAAGGGCAATGTTCAAATTACATCTCGTTAAAACTATTTTCTCCTTCCAAAAACTTGTCTCGAAGATGGGTTTAGGATATGTGAAACACAATGTTGGTCCATTTTTGCTAGAACTGTGGTTTTGCCGCTCCTAAACAGTGCAATTTTGATGACTTATAAAGAAATTAAAGCAAACAACAATTAACGGCTGAAAAACAAATGTTCATAATCATCGTCTAAGGTTCAAAATCGATTTTTGGTCCAGTATTAATTTTTTACGAGACCACTTGAATAAATGTGCGAGACGCGAAACCCCATGTCCCCTACCCTTAAAAAAAAATTCCCCATTCTTTCTGCCGTGGGGGCATCATTTCTTGTATAAATAAGCGCTATTAAGCCATTCCATCTGATCGATTCTAAATCACTATGTAATCATGTATATTTTATGTAACATAGTTTTCCTGATTTAGATACATGATATTGGCCAGTACCATTGTCATCCCCAACCTAGCCAAACTGGTTCTTTATCTTTCGTTTTTTTTTTGAACCTTGATCTACGGCCACGGCAATGTAGCCGATGTCCGAGTCTTGGATCTCACTCGACAATGAAGCGAAAAAAGATGTGGAGATGATTCAGTTGATCCTGAATTCTGTGAGCAGTTGATTCTGAATTCTGTGAGTTTTTGGTATATTGACGAACGATAGGCCCCAACTTGGGCGCGGCACAAGTGGTCAGGGTTGTGATATGAAGAGAGCCCAACTATTCTTACTAGTAGGGGAAACTAAGTTTGGTGCAATCAAACGCAGAAGCCAATCCAAAAAGCATCCAAAGAGCCTTCACCCTCTCCTCTTACATCGGTTGATATTCCTAGGATTTCATAACACCAAAAAATGAGCTTTAAACTATGCAGAAGTTGGAGACGCTATCAATATATTTCTCTTTCTTAGGCCTTAAGGTGCAAATTACAACATATCAACCTGAGTTTGTACTCTGAATCGAAGCAGGCAAACCTTGCTTAACTTTTCTCGAAAATAGAACCGTTACAGATGCAACCCACAAAACAAAGCTAAAACAACAACAATATAAGCCACCACCCACAAAATCAATTGTTGATCTCTTCAAGATTACAAGGCCCACAGGGACCAAAAATCCGCTTGGTAAAAAGAATAGAAAGACCCAACTCGACAGTTTACAGATCGAAAACCCACCACCAAAATGTTCAGTAACCTAGAGATCATAACTGTTTCGGAGCTTGCAGTGATTTCAACATTGAACAACATATATGGTGAAACTCAGACAAAACAACTTTCTGGCCGTTCAAAGTTTTTTTCACTGCATCTTCAGAGCTCCATGTTTCTATTGCCCTGCTTATCCGTGGCCCCAATTCCCCATTCCTTGCACTAGCCGAAGCTTCTAGAATCTCAATAACTCGCCCAGGCCTTCCACTAGAATTTATATCACTCGATTTCCTTAATAGTGAGCGGAAGTAGTTTAAAGACTCATCCTCTACCCTTCGAACCTCTACATCCAACCACTTGACAATCTTCTCAATTTCACCACGCAAACTCCTTGTTGAATTTCTAACTGCCTGTGACAACAGTGAAGGCCCTGGATCAGGTGCTCCACCCTTTTTCTTCTTCTTTACTGAGGGGAACAAAACTCGGGAACATGATTGGAGTATGACCAAGTGCCAAGCAATGGGCTCAGTCACTATCTGCACAAGTGGGGTAAGGGAGCTTCCAGTGCATACCGAAGAAGATTGTGCACATTGTAAGCTATCAGTTAAACATTGTTGCAGAAGTTTGTCCAAAGCTTCCATCAAATTTCCTTTGGTTTCTCCATCAGATGATAATCCAAGACTACGGGAGCACAAGTGCAAAACATTGTCAAATACAGCAAAGTTTATCCAGTCAACCAACTCTGATCTGTTATCCTGTGCAAAGATAAACAATCATGTTGGAGATATGTACATGGTTCTACACCCAGGAAATTGTTTTGCCCTGTCTAATTATCAAGAAAATGGATAGTACAGCCTCATGGACTATGCAAAACCATAGTCCATTGAGGTCATGACCATCCGATGAGATGATGGAGTGTGAATGAGAGAGAGTGGGACCCACTAGAATAGGGTATGAACTCATAAGTCACGCTCTCCTTCACCATCGATTTCATCAGATGGTCATGACCTCAATGAGCTAAGGGATTCAATGGTGGACTGTTTTGTACTTTCCCATCAAAGGTTATACATTTTCTAATTAAAAAGAAGGTAAAGCGAGATTCGGATTGGGCCCTAACTGATGCTATTTCATCGAATAATTCATAATTGTTTGTTTGTCTAATACCCAAAATTTCATTGTATTCTAGAACATATTTCATGCCAAAATTTAGCTGGTGAATTATGGTTGCAAACAAGGTTAGAAACCATCCAACAATATTGGCCATTTGTGGAAATGATACCAGAAAAAGGAAGCACCTTAAAAGACATGCGACCTGTTGAGACTGTGCTTATGAATCTCCTAGCATCATCAAAGGAAAAACCCATGTGCCTTGTATATTGTTCGAGGAGATCCCTCAGTTCTAAGGAACTCTTGGCATCAGATAAATGCCCATCAGTTTCAGAAGTTTCCACAAGTAACAGTGCCAGGCTTTGTAACGAGAGATAAACCAAACGAGGAAGAAGGGCTCTCCTTTTAATGACTTTGAGTTGTTGTGCTTCCCGCTCCCTAGGATGCTGCAGATAATATTAAAATTTAATAAGGAATAACACAGAAAGCATTACTGGGAATAGTTGCACTACATAACAGAAGGGGAAAAGAAATCTCCACTTTGAGAAAAGAAGATCGATCCTGTAAAATGACTAACTAGACCATATTATTTTCAGTTGTGAAGCACTATGACATCAGCATGCGCCCCTTGAAACTTTTCTAGTTTCTCTTGAACATATAGTTATCAGAACTAACTCTGATGAATTAAATCAGAATTGAGCCAGCCCAAAACTACAGATGTTTAAATTGACCTTGTAGACCAAAATCTGCAAATTGATGTAAAATGGCAACTTCCCATATTCTTGGCCAGTTCCAATCAGCTCACAATAGAAGATTTTGAATCTTTTCCATGCAAAACTTAGGTAATTTTTATGTCAGTATAAAATCAATGAGACAGAGGACACTTGCCAGCAGTTGTTGGGGGTGCTACACACTGCATTCAATCCGAGGTTCAGAGACATGAATTATGAACCAAAAAGCAGCTCTCTCAGCCAGCTCCTCTTGTTTCCTTATTTGGGTGCCTTTGGATGGCTAGAATGCTTGGACAAGCCCCTCACCGCAAACCATATCTAGCATATGGGTCTTAAAAAATCCAAATTATGTGCATCATACGTAGAGGGGCAGTCGAGACAGTTGTGCATCTCCTTGTCTGCTGTGTGTAGCATGAGGCGCATTCTACATAGATCTTCTAGTTTCAATTATTGGTCTTCGGAGTTCACTGGGCTGTGCTGGAATTACAAGATGCATTATTGGCTAATCGGCACTTGAACTTTCTCTACAAAAGGAACAAGCCTTGGAAACTCTACTTTGGGTGTCCGTGAAATCAGGTAGGAACTGGATAAAAGGATATTCAAGAGGAAACAGAATATGCTTCCTGCAACAAGGGTATAGCAAGGTTTAGATAACGTCTTTCAGTAAAGATCCTAACTGAACCTTCCTACACATTCCCATAGAGGTTTCAAAAAGAGAACTCTCGAATTTCTAGATAGAGAGAAACCCCAGTTTCAGGTTGAGAATGAAAAATTCAAGAGGTTTGCAACTGTTTCAGTAATGAATCAGATACTTCTCGCGAAAACGTTGAGTTGTGGAAGAGAAATGCATGCAAGCCTACTTCAGGCTTTTAATCCTATCTTCTTGGATATATTTCTTTATCATAGGCTTCAAAGGATACTCCTCTCTAAAGAATGTCTTGATGTTTTAACCAAGAAAAGTATATTGCTCTTTTGTATTTAGTTGAGAAGATGGAAGAGATATTTCATTTGGTTCAACACATGAAATACAAAACCATAGATCTGGTGTAAAACTAAGACCTGTTGAACACCCAACATAGTTTGTTCATAATTATTTGGATCAGGAGAAGGAAAACGTAAGCAGATCCCTATGGTTGGAGTGTCATGTACAATGCATACCTTAGAGATTTAAATCGCCAATTGTTAGGAATAGAGATCCCAACCTTTTAGAGATGTTAATCTTGATCTTTTGGGATCTTGATAAAACCTTTTGGAGATCTTGCTCCGAACCTTGAATATGTATAGATTAGGACTATATATACTCTTTAAAGTAGGTATCTCTTTATTAATAATCCGCAAGAAATGCAACTATATTAAAAGTATAGTTCTATGGCTAGCTGGCAATAAAAAATAAATATAAAAATCATCAGTTTGGTTGTTTTCTTGGTCTTTATGGTTGGGATCGAGATAATGGGGAATCAAGATCACTTTGCTGGAGTGCCAGAGCGAGAATCTAGAGCAAGGTCGCTTTCTAGATTGGGAGATTCAAAAAAATATGGATCGTTGTGTGGCATATTTCTCCAACAAGAAAGAGAAAACAATTGTGAGCTAAAATGAAGAGAACAGTGTATCCTCCAAAAAAAAAAACATATTTATAATGTGAAGCTTGCCTCATAATTCAAAAAGATAAAATAAAAAATAAGAAACGAAAACTTACCAAGTTTTCTGCTCGAGGCAAGCCAGATGTGCCTACACAACAAGAAAGTAAAGCATGAAGGGTACTCAATTAGTAAAGTGTTTCTTATAACTTTTAGGGGTATCGTGGTCAAATTATTTTTTAAATATTTTTGTTAGGTTCGCCTATTTTTCAAGAGTAGACGCTCATAATTTCAAATGAATTCGACTTGTAAAAAAAAAAAAAATCAAATTAAAATTCAAATGTGAAATGCAATCGTGACCATTGGATCGACCGAAATTCAATCTAAGCTGTTGGGCG